TAACTGCTTTTAAATACTTTTTTATTTGAAATAAAACTGGTAAGATAGCTTTTTAATATGAAGTTCTAAATGTTTCTTGTATTTTCTCTTTTAAAATTAACTCTAAATACCAGTAGACAAAGACATACTTCTAACTCTTCCCAAATAAATACTAAAAGCAACATTATTCAAGATGATAATGTTATTAGATTTTGAAATAGACGAAAGTAGAAAAGAAAAAAACGAAATTTATGTAGGATGATAGTTAATCGAAATTTTTTAAAACTAATATATAAATATATGCACATAAAGTAACTGTTGCATAAAAATGTTAACTTCTAGTAGAAGCCTGGAGCACAGACACAATGCGCGTTAATGATTTAAAAGCAATTTACTTAACTTTTCATATCTATAAAAATTTCTTTCATGAAAAATAATTGGAGGTTATTTTTATACACAAGAATAACCAAAATTTGTATTTTCATGTTCTTACTTTTTATCTATTTGTTAATAAATTTAAGACATTGACTATATGTTAAATTTCAGTACCCAAACAAGCCTGCTGATCGCTGTCAGGCTAAAGCTTAAGCTATCGAAGCAGGCACATGACTTTGGATACTTACTACCTTTAGGATGAAACTTGTAATGCTTACATTCATTATGTGACCTTTTGGAATCAGTATTTTATAATTTAATAGCATGTCCAGGCGCTCCTGTTCCCTGTCTCTTTGCATTTGGGCAGGACATCGTCTAGTCAAAGGCAGTGACTATAATGCGGCTGCCTAGTACTGTAAGGATTCTTCCGGCTGTTTTACAGGTACTAAATCGGGCTTTTGATGCTTTTTATTTAAAGATGGAACTCGAAACTTTAATCTTATTGCGTGACTTGATGACTTCAGGTTTTCTGCTCGGTTGTCAAACAGGGTAAACCTTAAAAGCTGCTGATATGTTAAGAGCTGCATGAAATTTTACAAAATTTTCTAACACTTGACTATTGTCAGTTAGGTGCTAGTTTTTCCTTAGATCTTGACATAGTTAATTCTCTGATAAAATACGTGGCACTCCATAAGTAAAATAAAATAGTTGATTGGTCCTCGCTTGTCCCAGTAAACAGAGACGGTGAGAGGAGTGAAAGTTATATTTATCTTTGTGGAGACTTATAGTTTACATTTACTTTGATGTTCTGAACACATAAAATATAATATTATATGCTAAAAGATCATTGAAACTAATCTGTTAGGATTTCAAATATTTTCATGTGGTACTGAAGCGAATTTTATGTTTTAGTTTAGGCATTTTCGTGCGTACTGTGGAACGCATTTTATTAAATAATAGTAAATACAGAATATATTGGTTGCGATGAATTTACAATCATTAATTGTATTATAAATGTTTAATTTAAATTTATTTTTAATAGTTAATAATCTTAATATAGAGATAAATATATTGTATTGCTTTTTGTAAAGCTATTTACATAGCCTCATACTGGTATCAGTTTATTTAAACATGTTTGTATAGCTAACATTTTATTAGGACTGTTTTTGTGTCTCTTCACATCGTTGCTTCTAATTACATTAAAAAAAAAACGTACTTGCTTTTCAAATTGCATTAAGATTTGCTAAATCTAGGTAGGCCTGTGAGATGAGTAATCGCAATTTATTGACGCGAAATTAAGATGCATAATGCCGTACTCTCTTTCACAACGTTTCATAGTGTTTCATAAAAAATAAAAAAAGACTTATCTAATTAAAGATAGTGTTATTATAAAAAAAGAAGAAATTATTTACGCCTGTCTATTTCATTACACGTTTTCAAGTAGAATTGTTTAAGTTCCATCCTATCCTATTTTCTGCCTCAGAAATATCTGCAATTTATCGGATAGTTTCAACGCGAACTATAAGCTTATTTTTTATAGTTGTCTTGTTTGCAGCCACTCATTGATTAAACGATTTTGTGTTCATTTCTTTTAAAAGTGGCTTCTATTAGCCTCTTTCAATTCAAAGACCAATATGTCACCCGCACTTCAGGAAGCTCAATTGGTAAAGGACTTTAAATTTTACCATTTTATTCTTTCTCGACGCTAGTTTTTTATTATCATCTCTACTTGAGAGGGAGAATATAAGTCTAGACTTTTTGTATATAAGCTTATTTTCTCAGATCCAGTGCTGCTAATATTAATTAAGTTAGCTGAGTTAATTTAACTATGTCCTTTCTGTAAGTTGCCTAATTTAGTTCCACAGAACTCTAATTATTTTTTCACCTTGATTAAACAGCATTCATTAATTAGTTACTCAGTCCTTTAATGAAAATGTCTCTAATGTTTAATATGCGTATGACACACTGTAGCATAATGTAATAAAGAATTTATTAAAACTTGAATGCTTGTGCTTGTTTATTGATTACAAAACTCACTAATCAAGTAAGACTGCGCATTTGACTGAAATGTCATGTATTTTTCTTTTCATGAAAGGGCTGAAAAATTCGCCAATCATAAGAAATAAATAGAAAAGAAAAATTGGAAATATAATACAAAAATATGTGTACAAATGCAATAAGCGAAATTTCATAAAATCCTCCTAATGCACTCTAACTGATAAAGATGGCAAATAAGTTTTAAAAATAAGAAGTAGGAAATAGGACTTCCTGTAGTTAAAGAAACCGAATGTGGATGAAAAAAAAAAAAAAACATGAGCAGGAAAAGTAACTGTAATGTAGTTGATATTTAAATATTTTATATTGATTCTGATGCTGGAAGTATTAAAACATTTAATGCCCTTCGTACTACTATCTAATTTTAACCGTGTTATGTAATTTTATTAAAATATTATTTTTAAGAAGAAAGTTATTATTATTTTCAAGTAATTTATACCATTACTTGCGTTCTTTACGAAACGTATGTTATTTTCTGTGGTAAACATATGCATGTATTTCCTTTCTGTTTTGTTTCTGTGATTTACCTCACTACTTTGACAATAACATGAGAACAAGTCTACAAATTTTATCGTGGCAACTTCTCTTCTGCTACTACCAAGCCACTCGAGAGGACTTTTGGGCTGACCGCATATTTTAAGTGCAGCAAGAAACTTTCCTGCCGCATAGAAAATATGTACTTACAAACGTTGATATTCATTATGAAACGGTGCTTTCAAATATAGAACAAATTTGCTTGGAAAGTGTTTTTTCTTATATATTCCAATTATCCCATTTTTGGCTGTCACTTTTCCTACAGTTCTTAAGAGCTGTTATTTAATTGTAACATGATCTGAATACAGTTCCCAGTTTTAACATTCAGTGTGATAAAGTATACTATTCTTTTGCGTTTGCAGTAATATTTATAACACTTTAAGACGCATAAATTTTATTTTTGAAACCCTGAGTCTAATTCTTTCACGTTACGAGAATAGACAAGTGGTCAAGCCAGAATTTCTCGTCTATATTTTACACTTTTGTTTGCTTTGTACGGGAAAAACCCTGAGTGTAAATAATTGTTGAGTTTAAATCGAGAGTAAAAGTATGAAGGAACCTAAACAAAAGTCAAGGGGATTATCAGCTCTGGGGAGCTTTTCCTAATTTGAATCATTTTCTTTCATAATAAGAAATAAAGAGAAATACGGGATATGACGGGATCTTTGGGATAAATACGAGAAAAAATAATTATGTAATTTAAATGTGCATAAATCAGGTCCTTTATAACGCTGAAAAGATTTACCGAAAACCAATACTGAAAAAAATTATCTAGTTCACAGAAAAATATTACCAAGGATCTTGTTGAGTCTATTTGCTACTAAATTCAATAATAAAATGCTGCATTTCAATACTCTTTAAACTAAATGATTCGTAATACTTTCTTAGCTTGGAAAAAGGGTTTCTATGAATGATGAAAACAGTGTTAAAGTTTCGCTATAATTATAGGTTGTTGCAGTTTGAATGCTGTGCATGTTATATTTACGAATAAGGTATTTATCTAATGTTATTCGATCATATGGAGCAGAATTATCTCAAAAATCGTTCCTTAACATGAAACACTTTCTGATTTTAAAGTATTTTTCCTTAAACAGAGCATGAAAAATAGTACACCTTATTACATTTTTCTATATTTAATAAGATGTACTACATTTGCAAACACCTTGTGCAAGTTCCATGTTCTTAGCTTCAAAATCATTCATGTTATATGAGTTTTCATAGCTCATTAAAGTTTCTCACTCCCACTGATGTACATATGTAGCTGAGTCCTAAGATTTTAATGTAACAAATCATTGCTGCACAATTACCGTACAGTTGTTGAGAAAATTAATGTAATATTTGGCATATATCTTCTTCATAGACTATTTATGCCAGCACTGCGATGCCAATAAATGGTAAATAACACCAAATCGTTAATAAACCTTTAATAAAGCCCCATTCAGAATTTTATCTTTGTTAGTGAACACAATATAGTTTCTCATGAAATTATTTTTTCATTTTAATCCAAAACAAAGTTTAAAGAAAAAAATTATAAACACATCTTTTCTAATGTAAGCTTTACCTTATTTGTTGAATTTTAATATGTCTATATGTAATACGTCTATATTTTACACTTTTGTTTGCTTTGTACGGGAAAAACCCTGCGTGTAAATATCTATACTGTCATGAAGAGACATCATAAATGGAGTATTTTTAGAAAACGATGGGCATAGTTTATAAGAGTCCGCTTAAATAAATTGTTTACATTTCTCATCGGCTTTCAACTTATGTATTCCCTTTGCAGATTTGCAGATAAGTTTGATATCAGCTGAGAACGGAGTAGCAAATATATTGAAATGCTTCCTCAGATGTTAAATACTGTTTTCTAAGCGCAGTTTTTTGATTGATATACTGTTGCGAAAAGAAATGAAATCTCAACCGTAAATGTTCACTGTACTCTGAGAATCTTCAAAACCGTACGTTCCGGTATACCGCTAACCAGTTTTAAGTATATTTAATATCGATTTCTCACCTGCTTAAATATTGATGATTATAGATTTCCCATTATTTTGCATCATCTTAATATTTTGTTTACTATTTTGAAATCTAACAATATATATTTTTTCAGTTACGTACGATGTAACGTGTTCAGCAAAACTGATGAAAGTTATCATTATGGTCGGAAACAATCAGTCAAGTGTGTTTGTTGAAAACCTCAGAGGATTTAAAGGTAAGCAAAGTTTACAGAAAATATTGAACTCGTTGGTTTTAAAATAAAATTTGTGTTTTAAGCTATTTTAAAGAACTCTTACCAAGAATCGTGTTGTTAAGCAAAGTATCAGATATATTATTTAATAAAACTACCGCATTGTCCCAAATATAAACCGGCCTCGCATACAACTTGACTCTCCGTTTCTGAAGATCATTTGAAAGGATTTGTTATAAGAAAGTTTTATATGTAACAACTTTATTCAGCTAAGGTGCTGCGATAAGATACGTTATTGGTCTAAGTGTCAAATCCCTAATAAATAATTGTAGGTTAGTTTAATTTTATAACGCACAGAGCAAGAGAATTATCTGCCTGAGGCTGGACCTCCGTGAAAGAGTTTCTCAGGTTATTTACGCTTATTATGAAGGCAAATCGCAAGGATCCTCTTTAAACCGAATTTATTATCCACCAGTATTCAGTGGCTTTATCCGCTTGGTCCACAGTGAGTCCTGAGATATATTTAAGTAAATATATTTTCTTTAACATAAAATCTATAGAATAATTTGTAAAATATATTACCATAATTTTTAAATGTTAGACTGTTCTTGTAAAACTAACATATTTGAAATCAAATTTTAGAAGTCATTAAAGGAGAAATAGGCTTTATATTCGGGCCAGTACAGTGTATTGCAGCAGAAAATTATGCTGCATTTTCTGACAATTAAATGATTTTTTATAAAGTACTACTGAAGTGAATGACGTTTCCAAGTTCTTTCATAATGAAAGATTTTAATAATTAATTTACTGTCATTGTTTTCATTTTTACGATGTCTTGGAACTTGGTGATAATCAACATTATGATAAAATATAGAATATTGTTTTTCTTCATACAAATGATGAAAAAATATTCATATATGGATATTTTCATTTCATTTACCTAACAAAAACCAGGAAATTCTATACATGGTTATTTGGACCTTAAGGCCTTTTCCAAAAGCAGTTGGCTCAGTGGAGGAAAAGTTCTCTAGTTCTTTCTTTTCATAATCGTGGCAATACATAAAAACAAGTTTTCGCTTCAAGGCGTTTTATTCAATTGCGAGGAAATAAGATTCATTACCTATTTTGCATTTGAATGATAGAGTGTTTTGAAATCTTTGATAATAGTTTCTTAGTAGAAAATATTGGAAAAGTCCTGTAGTGATTTTACTAAAAGTGTATGAAAAGAGTTTGAAAAAATTTTATAAGGAAGTTACAGGTCATTATTAAAGATCCTTTCTAGCTGTGCTTATATTTAAAAGATGAAAGTATATTTTGAATTTTTTAATAAAATATTCAACTGATACGATATTATTTGCTTTCTATAATATAGTTAGATCCATTATCATTTCATTTCCATATTTGATTAATCATATATTTGAAAAAATATCAGTACACATATTTACATTTTATCCCACATCATTTTCTATCTATGCATATAAAAGTTTGTAACATATGTGTTTGGTTATTAGGGAACGAAGTGAAGGTAGCTAATAATGCATAATGCAGGTAGAATTCCACATGATTTTTAGACATAGGCCTAAAAAAGCAGAAGCTAATTACGGTAGGCAAGTACGAAATCATTTAATAAATACAACTTTTGTAAATAGAAATTATCAAACTTGCCATAATTATTTCAGGAGGTAACTAGATCTGTAAATAAGTAAGCCTTTATTTAAAAAAAAGTAATAATGAAAATTTATCGAGTCTGCAGTCAGTATAAAGTTTTGCTTGCACATCTCTCTTTGATATTTAAGAACATTTTTACTGAATTCCATTAAACCTTAATTATCTCAACTGTTTTAGATGTTTTCAACGCTTTATTTAAATAATCTTTAATAAGATTTTTCTGAAGGGAAGTTAAAAATACCTCTTGTTTTCTGAAGTTAAAAGTCCTAAATGATTTATACTTCTTTCCTTGTATCAATATTTAGCCCAATAGATCTTTATCAAAAACATGAGCAAAAGAAAGAAATGTCAAAACCATTTGATAAATAATATGTAATTCTACAGATGTTTTGTAAATTAGCTACTGAAAACGGATGCATACATTGCTGTAAATATATCAAGAACGCTTAGCATTTATAAATCCTAAGTTCAGGTGTTATATTTCCCCAAATGCAATGACCTAAATAAAAGTACAGTGAAGCCCGCTTATTTGAAACGTCGCTTAACAGAAATGGTAATAAAAATAAATCAGTCATTTTTTTATTATTTTAAGTAATGCAAATCTTTAAATGCATTACAATAAAGATATATAAATGTATTGCAATACAGATATATAAATTCTTAGTAAAATTTATTCTTTTAACAAAATGGCTTTATTCATTAGATGTATTTATTTCGTTACTTTAGAAAACAATAATATAAATATGTTTATTTCTGTATATTTAAAATGAAGCTGAGAACTAGTACATTTTGTAAAATACCCTTAGGTCACATCAATCTAAATATTAAAGCATAAAGAAACCCACAGAATCAAGAAAGAAAATGTGTTTTATAAATATAATCTGCCTTACATTAAACTTCAAATTCTAAACATTGTTTATTAAACTTTAATGTATCTCAAAGATAATATCGATAGCCACTTCAGAACATTGGTAAATTGCCAAAACACAGTATCAGTGAAAAAACATTATGCTTAAAAATTAAATAAAGGAAGCTTATTGTTTGATAACATAGAGAATGATTTAAAAAAACAACTAAATTAAATATTCTGATAAAAGTTATAAAGTTAAAATTGCTTTCAAATTTTAAAGTTTATTTTATCTTGCTTTAGTAGGTATCTTTCAAAGTGGGATCAGTTTAATTCTAAAGAATAAAATGATATTTTTCAATATTTAAGTACTTAAGTTTGTTTTATGACCCATAACGCAAATCAGTTTTAATAGTAAATAATTCTGAAATTTTTATAGCTCACAACGTAACCAAAACATGCTTCAGTAAAGTATCTAAAACCCTTTTAAAGCTTTAAAGAGTATTAAGTTTGAATATTTTTGTTTTATTTCTAAGCTGTATCGTAGTTGTGCTGCGCTGAAGTAATTTTAATTTATGTTACAGGATGTGTACCGAAAACCGTGAAAGGAAAAGCCATAGTTAAATTGCCATTAGACAACTTCCATGAATGTGGAACTACAAGAATGACAAACAAATATACAGTAAGTGGTTCTTCTTCTTTCTCTGTCTCTTTTTGTTCCATTACACATGTAACTATGTATGTCAGGCAATTTGTAAATTATATATAAACACACGAAGAAATGAAAAGACATTATTTGATTTAATACAGCTTTTGTCTCTCAAAATATATTTAAATTTGTACAGAATTAACCGCACATTTACCGGAGTAATTGAGAGGACACGTTTAATGTAAAATGACGGTTTATCAGATGGCAGTTAACAACACAGGAATGAGGAATAATCCACACTATAATTAAAAGAAACATATGTTTGAAAACCTATATTTTTAAGCAGTGTAAGCTGGAAAATAGTTTTCAGAACAAAAGGAGCACTCTGTAAAAATGCAAGAATAAGCATAATTAGAACTAAAGTAACTAAGTGGCTTTAAAGAATATTATCTACAAGAAAAGAAACCTTGAGAAACGTTACTGCGTTCAAACTCGCGTAAAGAAGCCGTTTAGAACAATTATTTTTTACACTGTACAATATTTATTTTGTGGATTACATACAATTAAATTACATCCCAAGTAGCAGAGCAACATCGTAACGACGTTGCAAACTAGTCGCGGATGTCGTCGCAAAAACGTTGCAATATGTCGTCTTTAAGACGCCCAGATGTCCGCGAACATCCACTGCTTTGCAACCGTTGCAAAGACGTCTTTATTACGTTTTTGCAGATAAGGTTTTTGTCGCATAGATGTCGTTATTGCGTCTTTCACAGGTGATATTTTGGTTGTGAAAGCATAGTATCACGACGTCTTAAAGATGCCTAAATGTTCGCAAAATGCCACCTTTTTGAAACAGTTGTGAAAATGTCGTTATTATGTCCTTGTGTTACATATTGATTTATGCAGAAAAATAAGCTTAATAATTAATATACTTTTCTTTTTTTAAAATTTTTGTATTTTTCTAAAGTTTAAATATTTTATAATTTTCTTAAAACCAGAACATAACACATTTTTTTCTCTTTAACTAAATATGCATATTTAATAATAGCCTTAATTATTTTCAGACTTTAGTTCTTAAATTTCTCTTAGACTAAAATAAGTAATAATAGCCTAATTACTTTCAGTACTTTAAACTATATTTTTTAAATAACTTAAATTTCTAAGTTACGATTATTTAAGAATTCATAATTTTTTCCCTTAAGTGAGAGTAATTATGAAAGTGGTTATTATAAACATATAACATTAATCGTAGGTTTTAAGTAAATAAAACTCAATCACACATAAATAAAAGTAAGATAATATATATAAATATATATAAATATATATATGGTTAAAAAAGAGCGTTTCTGATAACAGCATTATTACATTTATTTCTGTTAAATTTCAGAGACATTGAAAATTGCCCCTGTCATGATAAATTAGGAAGCGGTTCTTAAGGTAACATAATTAGTATTTTACCTGAACTCAAGTATAAATAAATAAATGTATTCGCGTTTCACAGTAAACAATATAACCATTAACTTCTATATCTCCAAGATATGCAAATGAAATACAGTATAAAGTAGATCAACAATAATTCATACAAAAATATACCTAAATCTAATAACTTCCCATATTCATATTTAAAATGAAATAATAACCTTACAAACAACATACATGACAGCACTATTTAAGAAAAAACATGGACTAATAGTGTTTGAAAGTATAAATAGCAGAAGGAAGGTAACAGAAATAAAATTTCCAATTATTAAAAAAATATTTGGTTTTCTTAAATACTAAGCAATTAAAAGTGCAATAATTATGGATTGCAGTATTTGCACTAGTAATGCCGATGATTCTTAACACCATTTCTTTGGATCATATGTTAACGTATTTACTTATTTTTAGTTTCTGCATTTTAGAACAGTGGTAGATTTCAATGATTATGTCATGCCCTTTTTATAATCAATAACTTTCCTTTTTGTTACTGTACAGAAATAATTGAAATAATATAGTATACGATAGTAAGCTAAGTACGTTAAAATAAGCTCTTCGTTAAATAGCACACGCTGAAACTTTTTGTTTCTATTTATTATGAATTTCTTTGTTATCACAAGCACATAAAAAGTAAGCGAAGAAAATAGAATTTACTTAACTTTAATAAAAAATATAGCCTAATTTCCAACACTCATTTATTGAGATAATCTAATGAACATACATAGCGGCAATAGAATATACTTAAGTTTAATAATAAATAAAACCTGATTTCCAACATTCATTTATTGAGATAATTTAATAAACATTCAGAACGGCAATATTTAAAACAAAACGCGAATTACACAGTGTTTGGAAGAATAGATACCAAACGAAAAGTAATAAAACTACAATTTGCAATCAATAAAAAAATATTTAGTGTTTTTTAATATTACACAATTAAATATCACATAATTATAGATTACAATATTTCATAGAAATGCTAATTTTTTCGATCATGCATTTCATACACTGTTTAAAATCATTAACCTCTTCTCCATACTACATTTCATACACTGTTTAAAATCATTAACCTCTTCTCCATACTGTGCTAAAGACAATATACTATAGAATGTGCATTATTATTAATTTTAATAATTAATTGCTTAGATACATATATCTAATTCATCTTCAGTAGTCATATTAAGTACTGGTACCAGTCCAATAATTTCTTTGTACTTTGAAAATAATGAACATACCATAACAGCTTTAATTGTTGCTTCTGTATTGATTGCATTTTAAGCAAAACCAGAGAACCGTTGTATGTTGTTTTTGGTTTTATATGAATTAATTCTGAAAGCCAACTTTTTAATATAACCACAATAATCTATTAATATGAAGGATATGCGATATAGCACTTATAACGTCATAACCGAAGCACAAAGCTAATATGTTTATTCAAATATTGCACTGCTGGAACCACAGCGATCGGAGACAGACACTATTTCTACAGAGATATTATTTCACAAACCACAGAGACACTATTTCACGAACACTATATTCCACAGATCACTATAGACCACAAAGACACTATTTCATGAACACTAGATTCACAATATTCACACACAAATATATTCACACACAAAATAAGCACATATTCAGCGATCTAACTATAATTTCACTCGCTAAAAGCAGTTGAAATAGATACAGAACAATGAGAACATTCACAATGCATTCTTTGATTGACAGTGCATTACATTTACTTTTAATATAAGCAATATTATTTATATCAGCCATTGCTTGATTCAATTTCAAACATCAAGTACGTCTTTTCAAACGCCTTACAGATGGCATCTTTACCCAATGACTTGAAAGAACTGCTAGAATCTGAATTAATTGCGCAGTTCCTTGTTCGAATTTGGCAGCTAGCCAAAACGCGCAATTCTCGAGATATTCGTTATATAAAAAAAAAACGCATCCAGTAAATACTGCTCCTCCTTCCGCCATATATATCGGAAAGCCGTGAATTCGTCCTTACTTCAAAAAATAAGAAATAAAGTCATATTTCAGTAGTGAAGTAGTTGCTAACACGTGATTTGCATTGATTTCGGAAATATGATTTTTTTAGTATATAAAATGCATAACTTACTTTATAGATTAATTTCATTTTTAAATATTTTGTTATAATATTTATAAAAAATATTTTAAGTATTAAGTATTTTTATTTACAAAATTTAAACAATTATTTAGCACGTATTTTTAGTACTAATTAAATTTAAAAAATCAAAAGTATTTATATTAAATTTATATTCCATTAGATGAATCTACCTTAGATTAATATATTTAGATGAAATAAAGTAATCAAACATTGCAAAGTAAATCTTATGCGGACTTCAGATTCTTGAAAGGGCAGATTTAGTCTCTTTTCATTCTAAAAATAATGCTGATGGACTAAAAAAAAAATCCTAAAACGACCACGTCTCAAAGCGGTCATATCAATGACGTTTCAGCGATGTTGACAAATTGCCAAAATGCAACGGCAAATATTTTGCGTCTTTTCAACGTTGTAAAGACATCGTAAAAGTTACCACAACCACTTTGCAACCTCTCGGACCACTTTGCAACGTCGTGTGCTACTTGGGATACTGTTGTAGATAAAATTAACTCCTAAATGTTATGGCATTATCTGCAATTGCTTCTTTTGTGCCATTCTCAATCGGTCCACGTTAAACGAAATATTGAATTTCTTTCATGATGGGGGCCCGATTAAGTCGCTACTTGCTTTCGCCACGCGTAAATCGAGAGTTGACTGTAATAAAGAATATTATATATAATGCACAGAATGTAAATATAATTATTAAGAATTTGAAGGAGGATGGCAAATACATGGCATACTGCTACAATGCAAAATATGTGGATCCGGTCCGTTCTAGAATTCATAGGACTATATTATTAAGTGGATTTAGATTTAAAAGAACTGTTATATGCATGTTTTCATTACATCACTAATCAAACTTAATTTAGAACTAAAAGAAACCAAAATAAACAAAAGCAGTTAATTTTACTTTGCATTTGTAAACAAACACTTGGTTCTGCAACAAAAGATTACATTGCATAAAATTAAAATAAATTGCACCAAATAACCATTTCAATATTTGAGTTAATTCTGAACGTATTAATAAAACAATTGTTATTTAAATAACATTGACCAATATTCTTTTTCAAATTTTCAGATAATAAAATTATTAAGTATGTGTTTGGAGTTTTGTGGCTAAATAAATTTTAATAATAATTAAATTTACTTTACACATAAATAAATTTAATAGTAACTAAATTTTAATAGTGATAATTTTAGAAAGCTAGTAATAAAATAATATATTATTATACCATAGTGTGTTGAAATAACACGGTATGATTAAATTTTATTTATAATTATACAATTTTTATCCCCAAAATACTTTAATATTTAACATTATATATATTAAATAAATGTCTAGATAAATAATAAACACATATTAATTATAACTAGTTGCTTTTGAATGACATTGAAAAATAACATTGGATATTGAGCAACTATCGTC